GGGGGGGGAAGATTACTGCTGTCCATTCTGAGCTCTATTCGTTAGCTTACTCATATCGGGCTTACAGTCTTCTAGTACCCAGTGAGAGCTGAGGCTTAAATCCTATTTCCGCCCATTACTTTCCAATTGAGCTTCCAATTTCAATAACCACCTTTGCCTTATTACATTCAGCTGTCAGAAATTGTGATAGAATATTTACAAACGATTAGTATCATAAGAGCCCTCTTCTTACTTCTTCTTCTTCTTCTTCTCTTGCAATCATCATCCGTGCGAACTTCATCTACTACCAACGAAAAAGTAAGCACACCTTTTAAAAAGAGAGCGGAGGGGTATGAGATTAAAGTTACTGTGAGAGAGAGAGGATTACACTATTTCCTATATGTCTCTTTCATTTGTGCAATCAAGCAGCAAAGAACTGATGATTGTTGAAGTTTTGCTTTGAGTCCAAACATGAGTTATTACTCTCGGGTTGTACTTCTGGATGTAAAAGCTAAAATTAAGCGTGCTCTATTCAAAAGGCTATTTTTAGGGGTGAGCTGAAATTGGATGGTTCTGTTTGTTTCATTTCATTTTTTGGCAATAAATCAATCAACTCTGCTATTTTGGTGTATATTTTCTTCACTGTCCTTGCTCTTTATTATTCCCTACCATAAAGCAGCAATATTTTATTATTTTTATTCATGGGAAAGTCTCTTAACACCGATGAATTGTAGAATATTCCGGTTAGAGTTACGAGAGGAGGAGGTTGGGTAGAGGAAAGGAATTGAAACAGTGCATCTCACCTTACCTCGTATAGGACTTGCTTCCTGGTAAATTAATGTCAATGGTGTTTAGAGGCCATCGAGATGTTGATTAAATTAGTTTATTGTATCCCATTCACTACACTCGAAAAAAATAGTTATCAATCTTACGCTTTCCTTATTTTATCACTTTCTTGACATCGTTTTTTTTTTAAATTTTTCAGCAAACGTTGGAATCTCCTTACTGCCAGCTCAGCCGACCTCACAACCTCCTATAGTCACTAGTGAGACAATTATCAGCAATAAAACCATCACCACCACTAGCATTCCTCAAAAGCCCCCTCCTTCCTCTCCTGTTTCCATTTCTTCCACTCCAGTCTCATCAACAGCAGTTGCTCTTCCACCACCTCCTCCCCCTCCCCCGGTGCTACCAATCGGTGCGACGAACTTGAAGCCCACTTTGGCTCCGGCTCTTCTTCCTTCCTCAACATCACTTCCCCTTCTGGCCAAATCCAAAATTTATGGCTCTGCTGAGGAGGGAAATACTTCAATTATCTCCGTCCAGAATGCGGTTTTGCCTGCTTCCACCACTACTACTACTACTTCTGTGAGTATGAGAAGAAGGCATCAGTGCCCCTATTGCACTAAGAGTTGTGAACGGAAGGATAATCTCCAGGCGCATATTAGAACACATACTGGTATGTCTCTTTTACCTACAACTAGGATAGTGAGTAGTTGAACTCCTAACCGTTTATTTGCATTAGCACTCATATTAGAGAGTAGACGGGCATGTTTATTACCTCATTATCAGTCTATCTTTTCCTTTAATTTGATTGATTTGGTGATGTGCGGAAAAGTATGTTTTTCTACCTTGCCTTTCCCATTAGTCGGAAGTAACTTTTTTCTCGAAGTTGAATATACCCAATAAACACACGAAGATTGGAGATGATATTTTCATAATTTCTTGTTTTCTATTAACGTCTTTCACACAACTTTCCACGAGTAGAAGGAGAGCTGAAGGTTAAAAGTAGGGGAGGGCCAGTGCAGTTAACTTTCAGAATAATTAAAAAGCAGTTAGTATTCAATATCCAGTTCATTTGAATAGATTAATTTTAAATGAATAAATAGGGGGGGGGGGAAGTAGAGTGTTAAGGCTTTTTTTGTTTCGCGAAGGGGAAACGTTGATTTTTTTAGACGTCGGTTACTTCTGTGTTTTTGCTCGTGCCCCCACCACTCCCCCCCCCCTCCCCATTACAGATTATACTACCCTTTGAAGTATGCATAGCATTAATTAAGACGGCAAGTTAAATAAACTCTACTCACGGTAAATTCTATATTTATAAGAAATTTTCTAATTTACCTTCACGACTCTTTTGTGGGGGTGGGGGGTGGGGGATGGGATGGGATGGGGGGCGCGGGCTGATGGTTACTTTTAGCATGCTCCTCTTTTTCGAAACCTGATTTTTCATGCTCTGAGCTATCTTCAATCGTTTGGCGACACCTACCGAATCCCATATGGTTCGATCTATTTTTAACAGAGGACCGTCATTTGGGCTACAAGTCTTTCTCTTGGGGGCTTGAGTACTTGTAGCATTTATTAAAGACAACTGAGAATTATAAGCCTTAGAATAATTTAGATCTCAATTAAGAAAAATTAGGCTTTAGAAACCCCATAGACGAAAGTTATAAGCATGTTTAATGGGGTGACTTGTTGCTTTGTTCATAGAGAAGATTTTAAAATCATTGTCCAACTGAACAGCTTTCTCCACTTTTAAATCTCCAAAGGTGGAAAAAGTGTACATCACTTTGTGTTACTACTTTCTCATTGCATTTTTACTCATTTTTAACTTCTTCACCTTCTTAAGATAGTTTTACTCTATTTAGTTAATTCTTTAACTCACATTTTTATTATTAATTTTTTTACATACCTTCTGCTTAAAATGCGATACCTAAAATTGTTGATATTTTTACGTTTCATGTTATTCTTATTATTGGAATTAATTAAATGAGCATACGAAAAATGATATCCGTTTTGTATTCGGGGAAGGTGTATTTATTCACTTTCTAAGTTGTTTATTTTAATTAATTCCAATAATAAGAATAACATGATACGTAAAACTATCAACAATTTCAGGTATCGCATTTTAAGCAGAAGGTATGCAAAAAAAATAAATAATATAAATGTGAGCTAAAGAACTAACTAAATGGAGGTGGAGGCGGTGGTGGAGGTGGGGAGGAGTGAATACTACAACTTCATTTCTGCTTAAATCGATTTCTCGGCGGGTGATTGAGAAGCAGTTCCCTCGATAATAGAAAAGCCTAAATTATTCATGTTACCCAATGACACAGCGGAAATTCTACTAATTTTAATCTAGGAAAAGCGCGTCCATTTAAAGGAATAATGAACACGTCAATTAAATTGTGGAACGGGGTGATTGTCAGCATAGAAAGTGGATAATGAGGTCAGTTTCATTACAGGTATTTCTTGAAATCGGGAGCATTGACTTGCCCATATTTTCGTTAGACATCCAGATTCATGGAGGAGATTATGTCCACTGCCTGATTGATTTGCTTCCGATTTGTTTGTGTCGTTTCCATAGCCAGGATCACTGCTTACTACAGCTCACTCAACTAGTCATGAACAGACTACATATAGCAGGAGATTTAGTGGGAAGCATTAGCTGCTTGCAGAATATAGAATGTGCAGTCTCGTGTTTTTCCGATGGTCTTGCCATCAAGTTATTCTTTTAATCACACGATTGCTTATTGAACAACTTGTTTCCGAACTGCAGATTCTAGAAAATCGAAACGTCTCTAGATCTCCTCCTCCCCCCCCCCCCCTCCCCCCTACTTCTACTCGTTCTCAAATTTATGCAAATGGGCTTTTAATTTATACTGCTTTCCTTTATTCCAATCGTATCTGGGTGCACTTTTACTTTGCCCACGGACTTCATTTTTCTCACCCTTTATTGTGCACTCTATTTAATACCTTGTTTGTGTGATCACCATTTTTAGTCTCCTTCTAATCCTCTTTAAATATTCATTTTGAAACTCAAGTGAATTGGCATTACATTATGCATGCTTCCTACCCTCCGAAATCTCTTTATTTTCAAACTTGAAAGATTTAAGTTTTATTTATGCACAGTGTTGTTACAGACTAGGGTTAGAAGTCTCAAGGTCAAGGTCTAAATTTTTCACCGCGAACTACACGCGGATGGCGAATATTGTACAGCAGCACAACTCCAACAATCGAATGCGGTTTTAGACACTCTGTTTCCCTGGCGTCGGTCTCGGCATCTCTCCCATTTTTTGTGAACCTTTGCTTTACCGATTTCGGTCGCTTCCCACAACTAAAAGTGCTCAAATTGCTGTGATTAAAAATTTATTTATTTATTTCAAATGGCAGGTGTTTTGATAGTTATCATTAGCCCTTTAGCTGACTTCGGGCTTTGCAGAGGGAAGGAACGTCAAAGTAACAGAAAGTCGATGGGTGGGGAACAGAAGAGTGGTTTACAGCTGTAAAAGAGATAGACACAGAGGCAGAGAAAAGGTGAGGTGAGTACTCTGGAAGGGGTAGAATATGACATACAGTAGGGGGATGGTAGTTTGAAGTCGGAAGTCAACTGCCGGTGTATATAGACTTTTTTGCCGTATGAGTATACATTGCCCAGGGTGTACCACGTGGAGGTAAGTTTATCGCACACTCCCTGTGATTAAAAATAAAAAGAGCAATCGTTATTAACCCTGGGTAGTTGGAAGCATGTGCTGAAGGGGTATTTCTGTGTAAAAAAGGAAGCTCCCCACATAGAGCATTGCAATTTAAAGATGTGAACAAATTTAGATAGGTAGAGGGATGTGACAATGTTAATAGTCACTAACACATTAATTGATTTGCTAAGAAAGAATACCAATTAGTTACTAAGATTGTCGTCGAAATGTATTCCTCTAGTTATTCAGAACTCTTATTAGCTTCGTCTGAGAGGTCGTTGCACTCATTAACATTTTATGCTTCTGTCTTCCTACCACCCCNNCCCCCCCCCCCCCCCCCCCCACCACCCCCTTTTAATATTTCACTCATAGAGACGTTCATTACGTACGCTTTCTTCTTCTGTCAATTGAATGACAGCTGATTTGTCAAGGACGGCATTAAAAAGACGGGTAGTGGGTTCATTAAAAACGCCTCTTAAGGCATATATATATTAGATTTAAGAACGCAACTTTATTCACCAGTTGATTTAAGATTCGAAATCGTTACATTTTTTCGTCTTCCTTTCTCTTCAAAAGCAGAAGATAGAATTTGATCGGTCGCTCAGATTTAATCGATCAACACCTTCATTAAAAACATCGCTGTTGAGAGATGTAAACTTCTCACTAGATTTTTTCTTCATCATCACTTTTTCTCTACTAGAATTACCTAATTGTGCGTCTAAACATTTGCATATTTCACCATACGTCTGAATTATTGTCGAGGCGTCTTCTCATGAGTAGCATAATTACATTTAAAAAAGTTTAGAAAAGGGAATGTGGTATGTGTTGTACTATCCTTGGGGTATCGTTATTGTTGGTTTACACATTTGGGAGACCAAAATTATTGGCCAGTCGTGATATCCATTTTAGATCCTTCCTCAATGTTCTTTTACGTATCACTAGGCGTTATTTCTTAAAGTGGGACTGGAAGTATCCGTATTTATTCCATTCAGATTATTTTATTATCTATTGTCATGCCTCAATCAGTGGTCCTATCAAGTAATTAAGTTATCAACTTTTATTTCAGAGTGAAGGTTGGATAACAATTTCAACCTCCTCTCTCTCCCTCTCCGTGCTTAGTTACACGGATTTAACTTCCTTATCTCAAGGTAATCTCTTTCCCTCTCTCGCCCCCCCATCCCCATCCCCACTTACATTACTTTTTTATGAGTTCCTAGTACGTTTCCGTTTGCTGTTTATCACTGCCATCTCTTCCTCGCTTTTAACACCTCTTTCACGTCTTTGCACACTCTTGATAATTCCTCGTCTGGAGTATGAATTTCAGAGATAATAGTACTTCCGATATGCATTTTGGGTCTTAAGTTATGCATGGGACAAATTACATTGAAAAAATTCATTTACCTGTAGTTGATGGGCACTATAAATATATATATATATATATATATATATATATATATATATATATATATATATATATATATAT